CCGGCGCCGCGGGGCGCTCCCGCCGCCTTTATGAAGCAGCTGCCGGCGCGGGGAGCCGCACTGCGAGCTCCTCGCCCGGGTCCCTGCTCTCTCTGCTGTGCCTGCCCGCCCGCCCGCGCCCACCATGGCCGACCTTCAGCAGCTGCAAGGAAGATGGCGCCTGGTGGACAGCAAAGGCTTTGAAGATTACATGAAGGAAGTAGGTGAGGCACCGGCCCGGCGGCGCCTGCCAGCGTGGCGTGTGCGTGGCCATCTGTCGCCAGGTCCCGAGCGGCGCGGCGGGCTCCCGGACTGGGGATGCTGGCTTCCCGGCCCCGAAACCCGCCCTACCTTCCCAACCACGCGGTCCCTGGACGCGGCGCGGCAGCTGGCGGCACGCGGCGTGGAGAGCGCAGCGTGGAGAGCGCAGCGCCGGGTCGGGGAGATGTGCCACCGCGTGGTCTGCCCCTCGCCCACGCGGCAGCGTCCCGGAATTGCTGCTGCCCTTTAGTGCGCTCGCACCCCCGCCCAAACCTGCACTTCTTTCGACCCGCATGGGTGCCCCCTTATTTCCCCCTTTTTCCTTCCCCACCTTCTTGCTCTCCCTCGTACCACCATCTTATCTGTCCCTTTGGCCTCATCGTGGTAGCACCCACTTTCCTTTCCCGCTCTGCAGCATCTTTCATCTTTTGTTCATGGATGTCGCGCCCTTCCCACTCCACTGTTCCACCGGGATGCGGCGCCCGGGCGTGGTTTGCAGCAGAAATCCTGCAGAGGGTCTGAACGGAATACCACTCCAGCTTCCATTCGTCTCGTGGTCCCGATCTCTCCCAGGACCTCTGGGTGTAGGCAACCGGCCAGCCGGGCGCTTTGGGCTGGTGCAGCTACCATGGAGTACCTGGGCTTCCTCGCCTCGTGGCGAGGGAGCCGCACGGAGAGGCGTGGTGCTGGCAGCGTTGACCTGCTGGGCCCAGCGCTGCAGTGGGTGGGTGGCCTGCCCAAGGAACACCCTGATGTGATTGTGCCTGGGAATGGCCTTGCATTGCCATCCTGGCCTCTGCATCTTTAGAACGAGGGGCAGAGTAGCAGGCAGGCAATGCACTTTACTGGAAAAGCTTCCTGAGATACTGCAGGGCTCTCCTTCGGCTGCTAACTGCAGCAATATGGGTGCGGCCCTTCAGAAGGCAGTTGACTTAGAGCCTTCCAAGAGAAAGGAGTCCCTGTAGGGAGATTCAGGGTCTCCTTATTCAAAATAGTGCTTCATTCTCTCTGACTGTCCTTCCTTTAGCCAGCTACAGCGATTGCATGCAGGTTGAAATATCCTCTGGCAGATAGCAGACAAACAAAATGGACCTTTGTCACAGGCCACTGGGAAGTGGGATGGTGTTAGCCCTGACGGACTGCTCGGAGGCAGGTAGCCCACGCTGTTAACCTGATTTGATGACGTGACCTTCTGTGACACCTAGTTGCAGTGGCTCTTCACAATCACACTTTACTCTTAATCTGATCCCGTGTGGTATTCAGGCTGGTTTGTGGCAAATCAGGAGTGTTTTTATGATACTTTACATCAAATAAGAAGGCAGTTGTTTTTTGTTTTTCCTGCAAACGTATTGATAGAATAAGCAGACAAGTGAAAAAAAAAAAAAAAAGCTACACTCTTCCAAGAAGTATAGATAGTATTTGTGTGCGTGCACGAGTGTGGGGACCTGTAGCGAATGCTGTTTCTCTGCCCATTGAAAGCCAATTTGTATTCGGGGTTTTAGGGCACACGAAGGAGTCTGAAGGCTGTCAAGGCTCAATTCCTTAGGGAGCAATCAAGGTAGAGGAAGAATAGAGCCCATTTACTTGCCCAGTGTGAGGATAAATAATGACTCAAGGATGCAAAGCACCAACCCTAAGCTGGCAGAAGAGAAGGCTCCATGGGGACATTTAAAAGCCTTGGCTGAGGGCTTCTCATCAAGACAGTCCAGCTGCTGGGTTGTAATCTCCTCATTTGTGAAACAGGGTTTGGCCTGGATCTGCTAACACTAAAAAGAAACATGGGTTATAAATTAATATTTATTAACATGACATTCATTACTGCATAAGTCAATATAGTAACGGAGTTAAACAGCTAGGAGATGTTTTCTATTTTTGAAAGAATTTTTCCATTTATTAGTATCACAATTTTGTTTATTTATTTATTTTTTTGGAGAGGTTTTCTCTGTAGGGCGTGTGCGCTCGCCAGAAGCCAGAAAGACAGAGAGACAGAGAGACAGAAAGCGAGAAATCACCCCCCCAGGGGGGTTGGCCATGCCACAATCCCTTCTTCTCCATTCTCCTCTCGGGATATTGGGCACGCACACACACACACAGCTCAGTGACATAGCCATTATGCTAACTGCTGGTCCCAGCATCACAATTTTGCTAGTTCTTAAAACGTGCTCTTCATCTATCTCAGGATTGATTTTTTTTTTTTCCTCCATTGTAAACCTAGATCAATATACAAACCTATTGGGGCTAGCAGATGGTGTAATGGTTACATCACTGGACTCCCACATGGTCGACTGTGGTTTGAGTCCTGAACCCAGCAGTTTGAAACTCAGGCTGGATACATGTGTGCATGTGCGCCTAAAACCCCCGAGAGGAGAAAGGAATGCAGTGTGGCCACCATCACCACCACCCCCGGGGTGAAGGGAGTGATTTCTTACTTTCTGTCTCTGTCTCTCAGGCAAGCGCATGTGCCCTATAGCAAAAAGTCTCTAAAAACAAACAAGCAAAGATACAAACCTATTTCATATAGTCTCTTAATCAAATTTTATCAAGGGCCTTTTATGCCCCAGCCTATGTACTAGAGTCATAGAATACAATGTTTGGCAGAATCCAGTATGTAGAAAAAGATGGAACAAACTTTTTTTTTCTTTGGAGAGGTTTTTGCTATAGACCATGTGTGCTCGCCCAGCAGACAGAGAAAGACAGACAGAAAGCGAGAAATTACGCCCCAGGGTGGATGACCACACCACAATCCCTTCTCTCCAGATCTTGGGCATGCACATGCATCTGGTGTGGGTTTAAGCCACCGGGTCCGGCCGGGACTCAAACTGTGGTAGACTATATGGGAATCCAGTGACACAGCCATTACCCCAATACCTAGTCCCAAAGATGGAGCAAAGTCTTGAGTTTGCAATTTATCTTCACCTTCTATCAGCTACTTTAAGTCAGATTTAGAAGTCCTGGTTTCTTTCCTAACTTTCTGAAAGCCAGCGTTACATGCTGGTTAAGGGTTGAGATTTGAAACCAGGTTGCCTATACTGCTGGTTACCATCACTTTGTAGCTCAGTGAACTTGGGTAAGGTACTTCAGTGCCCCAGTGGCCCACCTGTCAAGTGGAGCAGTAATCGCCACCTATCTCGGGTGATGTAAGGCTTATATGAATTAATGTGTGTAAAGTGCTAGCACATGGTGAACACTGGATATGTGTTTGTGAGAATGATCCATGCATGAGTAAGCAAAATTACGCCAAGAACAGTGCATACAACTGAATTAATGCTTGAATATGGGGTGATATCTTTGGTTTTCCCTTTATTTAACATGATTTAACATTTTACAGGTGTGGGAATGGCTCTGCGGAAAATGGGTGCAATGGCCAAACCAGATTGTATTATCACTTGTGATGGGAAGAACCTCACCGTAAAAACTGAGAGCACTTTAAAAACAACACAGTTTTCTTGTACCCTGGGAGAAAAGTTCGAAGAAACTACAGCTGACGGAAGAAAAACTCAGGTCAGTCATAACATGTTATGAAAGCACAGAAGCTTCTAGAATGATAGGTGGTTTTAATATTTTTAATAGTTATAGGCAAGAATTTAATGACAAAGTTATTTTATGAGTTGAGTTGTGACAAATTAATAAATATTCCAGCTTCATAAAATGAATGTCTTTTATGAGCTTATAGACGATAAGCATGCACTGTGCTGTGTGTGAATAATGGGTGGGTTAATGAAGTAGACCTAGAAAGGAGAAGATGAAAAAACTGTTGAGTAACGAGTTTATGAGTCATGGAAACCCTCTTGTAACATACTTTGGAAGATTAAAAAGTATATTTGATTTTTGCAGACTGTCTGCGACTTTAAGGATGGTGCGTTGGTTCAACATCAAGAATGGGATGGGAAAGAAAGCACAATAACAAGAAAACTGCAAGATGGAAAATTAGTGGTGGTGAGTATCAAAGTGCTGGGCTTCTTGTTTACCTTCATTGTTCACCTAACTGTTCTGTGTCACTGATTAGGAACCAAAGGATTAAGTTTAGGAAGAAGGAATTGCAAACAAGTTAAATACTGGAACACTATTAAGAAAGCCCTTCTTGGGGATAGGGGAGTGACTTGATATAGCAGAGGATGTAGCGGGAGTTGGGTTCAGTCCTTGCTTGGCTGCTGCATCACAGTGTAATTCATCTTGGCAAGCCATACGACTGCTCTCTTGGGCATACATTTTTCCATTTCTTTAAAATGAGGAATAACATTTGCCTGGACCAAGTGAATAATTTAGCTCTTATCCTCAACACTTTAATTTTCACTGAAGCATATATATGTATTATAAGCAAAACAATAGATTCTAGTTTCTCTCACACCCAGGAATCCTAAAATAAATGTTCTCCTTCTATGAAGTAGATTATAAGATTTCATAGGATTCTGACCTTAATATTTTATTACAACCTGACTCATTAATATTGTTGTTTCTCCTAGGACTGTGTCATGAATAATGTCACCTGTACTCGAGTCTATGAGAAAGTAGAATAAAAATTCCATCATCACTTCAGACAGGAATTAGCTGCGAGGATGAACAAGCTCAGTTCAATGAGCAAATCTCCATACTACTTTTTTTTTTTCATTACTGTGTTCAATTACCTTTATCGCAAACATTTTACATACAACTATTTCCAAGTGTTGATTTAATTAGGATCATCCCTTTGGTTAGTAAATAAATGTGTTTGTGCTAATACATGTCGTATGCATTCTTTATAGGAAATTAGTAAATGAATTTTAATAATTAATGAATTGAATGAATTCTGGGATAATCACAAGGGTGCTTTTTTGAAATTATAACCTGAGGCCAGCAGATGGGTTAGTGGTTAAGATTCTGGATTCCCACATGATTCCAGTGGTTCGAGTCCCAGACTCAGCAACCTGAAACTCACACTGAGCATGTGTGCCAAAGATCCCAGGAGGATAATGGAGAAAGGATTGCAGTGTGGCCATCTGTTTGGGGGGGGGGGGAGGGTGATTTCTCACTTTCTCTGTCTCCAGTGCCCTATAGCAAAAAATCTCTTAAAAAAAAAAAAGAAAATTATAAACTAGTGATTGTACTAGTTTCTCTTATGCCATTACAGACCCATCATTTAAGCTTGCCTTACACTGTTTGAATTTTGTGTGTGTTCAAGAATCATTTCTGGCAGAGTTTTCACTAAAAGATAGTGACAGGAGACCAGATGTCTACACTCTGAGGAAACCATAGGGGAATATTCATGGTTTAAATCCATAGACCTCCCTGAGTAGGCTGGGCTTGCTCTTGCTTCCTGCTTGCCCACGAGCCAGGGTTGGCTGAAGGCATTAAGACCCTGTTGGAGGTGCTGTCTCTCTCATCCTCTTTTTCTCTGTCTCTTTCTCATGGAAGAAAAAAACTTAAGTAGCATCATATTTTATAATGTAAACATTAGAACAGGTTAAATTACCTCATTGACTAGATCATACTTTTAATTCAGGAGTTCGGCAAGTAAAAATTTATGCAGTAAGTAAACTTGAGAATCTCCCATGTACCATGAAGAGCTATTCTAGAGGGTGACATACATCTTAACACAATGGGCACATTGTTAACCTCAATGAGGAAGTACTGCCAACTTTAGAAAAACATAAGGTGCTCACTAACAAAAGTCATAAAAAGCAATATGGCTCTACAATACTTTGTGTAGTTAGACAAAATATATATAATATGTATAGAATTCTAGTGAACCTCTTGTATTTCTCAGACCCAAATTCAAATACCCACAATTCACATTCAAAAAAGGTGGTAGACTCTGGATAAACTGTATACATGATTCTTGGAGCAAAACTTAGAAAGGCTGTTGCCATTATCTCCATTTTGCACAGAAGGCAGGTCTTTGGCTAACTTGTTCAATGACACAGGAAGTAGCAGAACTGGATTGGGAACCTATATCTCATCTAGTTCACACAGTGTTCAATCATTCTGCAGCATTGCCTCAGCTTGTGCAGAGATCTGAGTTTAGAGTCCCTAGATGTGCTAATGAGACTTTGGAAACCACCTTAGTTGCTGAGATATCAAAAATTACCCAAAGCCATTAGCCAGTGAAAGAATTTGACTCTTGATGCTTCAGCCATGTGCTGCATATGGGCTGCTGAAAATTTGAAATGTGGCTTGTCTGAATTGAGAAGTGTATGTGAGATATGTACATTTCATGGATGCAAAAAGGAAAATGCTTTAGGACCAACAGCATAATGGCTATGTTGCTGGACTTCCATGTAGTCGACCGTGGTTCAAGGCCCAGACCCAGTGGCTTAAACTCATGCCGGGCGCCAGTGCGTGTGTGCCCAAGATCCTGAGAGGAGAATGGAGGAGAAGGGATTGTGACATGGCCATCCCCCCTAGGGGGTAATTTCTTGCTTTCTGTCTCTCTGTCTCTCTCTGTCTCTCTGAAGCACATGTGCCCTATAGCAAAAACCTCTTCAAAAAAAAAAAAGAAAAATGTTTCATTAATGACTTTTTATATATTAATATTGAAATAATGTTTTGGGGTATTATTGCTTATCTCAATATTGGGTTGTCAGAAAATTCATGATGCATCTTTGTATAGAAAAGCAAAAATATGTCATGACTTTACCAGCAACCTGATATATGTTAATAAAATTGTACCTGTTATCTTTTCTAACGAGACTAGGGAAAATTTTAAAGTGGCAATGTGCTGCAATTCAGCATCCATAGTTTTTCTTTTTTTTTAATAATTTAATTTTATTTATTTATTCATCTTTTTTTCCTTTTTTTTTTTTTGAGAGTTTTTTGCTATAGGGTGCATGTGCTCGCCAGACAGAGAGAGACAGAGAGACAGAAAGTGAGAAATCACCCCCCAGGAGGGATGGCCACACACCACAATCCCTTCTCCATTCTCCTCTCGGGATCTTGAGCATGCACACACACGTGCCTGGCATGAGTTTAAGCCACCGGGTCCGGGACTTGAACTGTGGTCGACTACGTGGGAGTCCAGCGACATAGCCATTATGCTAACTGCTGGTCTCATCATTCATCTATTTTTTAATTTGACCAGAGAGATAGAGGGTAAGAGAGAGAGACAGGAAGTAAGAAAGCAAGCCACCAGATTCAGGACTCAAACCCTGATCGGCCATGTGGGAGTGTCCAGCGCCTTAACCACTACGGCACCTGCTGGTCCCTCAGCATTCATAGTTTTTAATAGTGCTATTTTATAGTTTCTTCTTACTTGAATACCCATCTTACCTATTGAGTCTTCTAGCTAGGGTTTCTCTCTTGTCTCCCTTTTCTGCTTTTAATAATTAAATACAATTTATTCAATATTCTCCGGAAATCAAACACTGGGCCAAGTACTTGAAGTGTTACGTAATTCTCAGAATCACCTTAGGTGACAGGTATTCTGCATTATATAGATGAGGAAACAAATCCAGAGTCTAGGTAATGTTCTCAAACCATATAGCTAGTGTAAGTCAGAGAACAGATTTGAGTACAAGTTCATCAGACCTCATAATCTGCTACTTGCCACCATGTTCAAATGCCCATACTGTTCAGTCGTTGGACTTGAAATCATCTGATAGATAGCATGGCCACCCCACTGACATGGGGGAGTTGTTGACATTATGGGAAAGAGAACTTAGTGTTAGACTGTCAAGAGTCTTAGGACTC